GTCATGATCTCACGGTTCGTGGGTTCGAGCCCCGCGTCGGGCTCTGTGCTGACAGCTCAGAGCCTGGAGCTGCTTCTGATTCTGTGTCTCCCTCTCTCTCTGCCCCTCCCCTGCTCACATTGTCTGTCTGTCTGTCTCTCTTTCAAAAATGACTGGTCTCTGTCATGAAAACTGGCACAAAAGTCCTCAACAAAACCCTAGCAAATCAATTCAGAAGCATATCAGACAATTAGACGTGAGGACCAGGTGGGGTTTATTCCCTGAAGGCAAGAACGGACACAAGTCAGCCAGTCACCCCAGTAATGGAACGGGGCACACATGATCATCTCAATTGATGCAGAAAAGAATTTTCTGGAATCAATACCCTTTCATAACAAAACACTCAACAAGGCAGGATCAGAAGGCAGCTATGTCACAGTAAAGTGACATACGACACGTCTATCGCTCACATCGTTCCCAGAGGTGAAGGACTAGAGCTTTCCTCTAAGATCGGGGACAAGGCGAAGATGTCCACCCTCACCCCCCCACTCAGCAGGGCACTGGAGGTTCTGGCCAGAGCCATCCGGCAAGAGAGAGAAGCACAAGACACCTGGATTGAAAGAGGAAGAGAAAAACTACCCCTGGTCACAGATGACATGATCTTACATGTAGAAAACTCTAAAAACTCCACCAAAAAACTGCTCAGGCTTCCTGTGGTCTGCATGTGCACCCCCCAAGTCCACGTGTCGGAGTCCTAACCCCAAGAAGTGACAGTGTGTCAGCAGGTGGCTGGGTCACGTGGTGGGGCCAACAGGAAGGGGGCCGTGCCATAGCAGGAGAGCCCCACAGAGCCCCCCGACCCGTCGGCAGTCTGCACCCCAGAAGAGAGCCTTCTTCACCTTGTGCACTATTGGTAGGGATGTCGAATGCTATAGTTATTACACAGTTTGGTAATTCCTTAAAAAGTTAAACACAGAATTAAGATACTGTTCAACAAATCCACTCTCAGGTGCATCCCCAAAGGAGCCGAAAGCAAGGACTCAGGCAGCTACCTGGCGGTGGCCCGTGTTCACAGCAGCCAGAAGGTGAAGGCAGCCCCATGTCCATCGACAGATGATTAGGAAAGAAAATGTGACATATTCAAACAATGAGACATTACTGGCTTTAACAAGTTAGGAGATTCTGACATCTGCTACTAGGCGGAACCTTGCGGACAGAATGCTCAGCAAACAAGCCAGACCCAGCAGGGTATGTGGCTCGGGATTCCACTCACATGGTCCCTGGGGTCGTCATATGCAGGCACTGGAGTAGATGGCGGGCACCAGGGGCCTCGAGGTGGGGTGGGGAGTGGTGTGATGTTCGTGATGGAGACGGGGGAGGCTGCGTGGTGACGGCGGCGCCCCACCCCACACAGAGCCGCCGCTCTCTCTGGGCCCCGCCAAGGCTCCTATCACTGCCTCACGTGGTCTTCTGTGCTGTTCTTGTCCCAGTGGGATCCCCAGTGCCCAGAGGGTACCACCCTGGCGCTCAGAATTTGCTAGAAGGGAGGAAGGGGGGATGGAGGGAGAGAGGACACGGGCGAGGTGTGAAGACCCAGGAAAAAGCAGAAGAGGCTGAGGGCTCGTAGTCTCCCCGCAGGGCAGGGGTGCCCTGTGGGAAGCTCTCATATTCTTGCAGCCCAGGGGCAGGGTGGGAGTGGGCGTGGCTCCAGGGACCAGGGCGCCCAGCCCCCTGCAGCCTCATGCAGCCCCTGTCTGTGACTTGCCCTCCTGACCAGCCACCAGCCACCAGCTGCGCTGTCACCGCCCACCTCTCTGCGTCCCAGAGGCCTAGCCTGGGGCAGGGTCGCTCAGTAATGTCTGTCGATGGACAAGCTGGGTGTCCGGGGGGGCCATGGTGGCCCAATGTGTCCCCCACCTGTTTCTTCTGGACCAGACTGACCCCTTAAGTCTCACGGGAAATACCCTGAGGGCACTGGGGGCAGGGATCAGCCCCAGCCACCCCAAGGCCCAGGAGAGAGTGGCTTGTCACCCACATGCGGGGCCTGGGGTGCTTCCTGGCCCGGGCCCCTCCCCACCTGGTTCACCCAGCCTGGGGCTGTCAGGCTCTAGGCTGTTAGTCACACCACTGGGCCCCTTAGCTATGGGGGTGTAGACCGGGGCTGCCAGGACACCCCCGCCCACCCGGTTCTCAGCCGCTGTGGCCACACAGCCGTCTGGCGACCAAGGGCAGCAGATGTAAAAGGCCCCACCCGCATGCCAATCCAGCCGTGCCTGTGACTCCCCAGGGCCGTGCCCCAATCCGCCCGGACCCTCCGCGGTGCCCTGGGAGGAGCGGGGCAAACCACCGGCTCAATAAATGCCTGAGCCTTGCTGCATCCTGGGGCCCTCGTCCTCAGTCTGTACTGCGGTGGTGGACTGGTGGGGAGGGGGGAGCTCGGGGGGCCCCTGGGGTTGCCGGGGGACCTTGAGGGGCTGCGGGGCTGGGCTGGGCCAGTCGGCCCCGGGCTCCGCGTGGGCGGCCCCGTGGGATCTGTGGGCGGGGAGGGGCGCACCCAGGCTGGACGGACTCCCGGCATGGTCCCTGGCGGAGCCCTCCCTCCTTCCCGGCAGCCCGCTCCCCTTCCTTATCTTCTGTCCTCAGCTCTCTCAAGTGTGAAGAGGTGAACTGGCTGAGCAAACAGGCTGGGCTCGGAGGCTCTGCATCCGGGATGTCCCAATCTCCACCTGTCTCTGCCCAGAGGACGGTGCCCCCGAGGAAGGACCAGGGCAGTATCCGGGCCACGCCGGCAGCCGGGTCTCCACCACACTTGTCTGGTGCACTTACTGAGTGCCTACTGTGTGCCAGCTGGGAACAGCGGGCCAGCCCTCTGCCCACATGAACCTCTCCTTCTGAGACCAAAAAGTTGAAGTCCTAAATAACTCACATTCGGGTCCCGAGTCCAAGGTGCCCGGGTTGCTCACTTGTGTGGGGAGGGGACTGCCCCAAACGGGGCTCACAGGGCCCTCTGAAGGCTGAGGGGTGCTAGCTGAGTCAGGGGGTGCTGAGCAATGTGCCAGCAGGGCACGGACTGAGAGCCGGAACCCTCAGGGGAGCAGAGGGGGCCGGGCCACGAGGGCTCAGGCAAGCGGGCACCATGCCAGGCCTGTCTGCAGGAGCTCTGATGCCAGGAAACGTGGGCCGGCTGCAGGGGGGCGCACCCTGCTCTGCAGATGCCAGGAACCAAATGGAACGCAGACGCCGGGACCTCCGCGGCGAGCCTGCGGACTCGCACAGCCCGGGGTGGGGGCGTCAGCCGTGCTGCGGGGTGGCCCCAGGCAGATGGCGGAAAGCTTTGAAGACAGTCTGCCCGCTGCCCACACCCATTCCGCATCTGTGAATTAACCTCAAAAAGGCAGGTGCACCTTGCTGCTTATCGCCCAAATCTTTGGGGAAGCTGCCCGCACCCGCGGAGGCCTGTGCCCCCCACCGGGGCCCACCCTGCAGGGCACTCACACATGCTCGGGTTGGGGTAAGGATGCCTGAGAGTAAGACGCCTGGAGTGTGGGTCAGAGGCGACAGCGTGCGAGGCTGAGCTGTTTGCCGACCAGGGGAGACGTTACCCTGTGACCCCCCGCAGCCCAGCTGCACCAGCTGGGGATGCGGCCTTCGTGGCTCCCGCTCGGAGCCAGCACTGGGGTTGAGACACCCCGGGGCCCCCCGGAGGTGACCCCATCAGCCTGCTGGGGGCCTTCCAGCGGCACATCGGCCCCGGCCTGCCGTCATGGGAGGGCCCTGGTGGGTCAGGGACCTGGGGAGCAACGGCTTCCTTTGTGCCACCCCGCCTGGGTCACCAGGCCACTTGGGGTCGCTCAGGAGCCAGGTGAGGGCCACACGTGCCAGAGCAGGCGCTGGGCAAGGGCCAGCCTGGGTGTCCACTCTGCTTCCCCTGAATTCTGAGCTTGGTGAGAGAGAGGAGCCCAGAGACGTGCAGGGCGCACTGGTGAGCTTGCCTGGGGTCTCTGGGCTTGGAGTCTCCTCCCAGCACCCCCTCACACACAAGCTGTGCAGACCAGCCCCCCCCCCCCCCCACGGCTGACCACAGCCCAACTGAGCAGAAGCCCAAGGCCCCCAGTGACGGCCTCAGTTCCCTCCCCCTCCCCAGGTACCTGGGGTCAGCCCCCCCGGGCCAGCGCCCAAGGCTGCAGAGGGCTGAGGCCTCCTCCCTTCAATCCCGCCTCTCAGCCTCAGCCAGGCTCCCGGGGCGGGGAGGGGGGCTCACCATGGGGACTGGGTGTGGGGGCAAGCTGACCACCTCCCCACTGCGTGAGTGAGGCAGGAACAGGGCGGCCCAGGCAGCCAGCCCCTCTCCCTCCCTGATTACCAGAAGCCGTGGGGTGGGGTGGGGTGGGGTGGGGGGCAGGGGTCCTGCGAATCTGGGGCCACGGCCACAAATCCTTCCTCCTCCAGGCCTCTGTCCTGCCTCGGCCCCTCCCCAAGAGCAAACACACGTGGCCGGCTCGGGGGAAAGGCCGGAGCCCTGCGGTGCCCGGGAGCCGGGCACGGGGCCAGGACATCTCACTATATAAGCCCCGAGGCCCCCAGGGAGCGAGCACCGGGGCCCACTCCGTCTCTGCCACCGGCCCGCTGCCAGCCCCCAGGATGGGTGCCCCGAGCGGGTGCCTGGCGCTGGCCTGGGCCCTTGCGGTCCTGCTCTCGGTGCAGAAGACAGGTAAGGCGGAAGAGCCCCGCTCCGTCTCCGGCCGCGGGGGCCTGTAGGGCCCGGGGTTTCTCCTGCTGAGAACGGGCAGGCAGGCCTCCCCCGCGTGTCTTCAGTGGGGCCCCCAGGCTCTCGGCCTGCACCCAGGAGAAGCTGGGGTCCCCCTGGACAAACCACCAAGAGGGTCTGGGAGTGGGAGCCGGGTGAGGGCCCCAAGGCTGGTACCTCTCTGGTCCCTGTGAGGGCGACGGCCATCAGCCAAGTCCCGATAGTGGCTCCAAAATACCTCCTCAAATCAGGGTTGGGACAGTGGACAGGTGACATGCCCACAGCAGGGAAGCCAGGTCCGAACCCGCTGAACCCCATCCTGGCCCTTCGCACCTCACCTGCCTTCCCGGCCTGCCTCTTCTCCCGTAGGCCATGGCCCCGGGCTCTTAGCGTCAGGGGGCAGCAGCAGCCCTAATACTTACTCTCAGCATGAAAGATGCGGCCTCAGGGGCTGCCTGGGTGACACCGGGTGGAGCTGGCCTGGAGCCCGGCCCTGGGCTCTGCTCCTGCGAGGCCTCCTCCCTAGGCCCCAGCCAGGCTCGCTTGGGGGTCTGGGCAGGTGGACACGGCCCAAAGCTCTCTCCATCTGTGAGGGGGGACACTCGGCTCCCTGAGCCCCTGCCCCAAGCCGCCTTCCGTGGGGGCTGAGCGGGGCTGGGGGACAGGGACTTCCCCGCAGCGATTCCCAGCGGGCACCACGTACCCCAGCCTGCTGCGCTATTCGGGTGCCTGTTTGCTGGTCTGCACAGCCAAGACCCCCTACTCGGCTGGGCTCTTCCAGGCTTTTCCGGGCCACGCTGGCCTCAGACCATGTGCCCGAACACTGGGCCTCACCAGCAAGCTGCCTCACCCTCCATTTGCTTCCCCCCCGTGGGCCGATCCCATTAGCGGTGGACAAAAGCGGTCCGAGAGGGGGGGCTTGCGTCAGGGGCTGCACTATCAGACCACGGCGTGAGGGGACCGTCAGCAGCGGGCATTTTCCTGGCCGAGTGATGGAGCCCAGGTCTTGCTGGGCCAATGACCCCGTGTTGAGCCAATTCTTGTGGAAACCTCTGGTCGTGACTGTGGGGTGCGGCCCGCGGCTGGCCCTGGCCAGGGTCAGGGGTGGACAGAGGCGGCAGCTGTGGGAGGGGCCTTTGAAAGGAAAGCTGAGTGCCGGGCCAGTGCCTGTGGCTTCCATGTGCCCGAGGTCCCTGCTGGGAAGGTCGAACAGGAGGCTGTGGTGGCCTCACTGGGCCCCTTGCTGAGCTGGCCCCACCGGGGACGTGGGGACTTCAGGGGCCCGACCCCCACTTCCTGACAAGGCTCAGTGTTAGGCTGAGCATGCAGACCCCCGGCAGATGGAAGGAAGCAGTACAGGGCCCGTGTGGAGGGGGTGCCCCAGCCTAAGCCCGGCACAGCCACCCCCTGCCCACCAAGGCAGCAAGGGGCACAGGGGCCGGGCCGCTGGAGGCGAGCACCTGGGCGTAGCCATGGTCGGGCTGGGGGAGGAGGCCCACCCGCCCCGCACGCGATGGGCACACGAGCTACCTGGGCAGCCATCTCGGCATCCAGACCTCCAGGCCCCCCACCGCCATGATGGATGGTTCTAGCTTGAATCTCGCTCTGGTCTTGGGTTTCTGCTAAGTCACGCCCAGAAGCCTCCCCAACTGCGTGTCCTTCTCCCCAACAAAGCTGGTCTTTGTCCTTCTCCAAGGGACTCCTGGGGTGGGGCCGAACCCTCTTCTAGGGTGGCCAGGGTCAGCGGGCCAACGCCTTTTCCTGATTCCATTCTCCTGCCCTGAGCCAGCAGCTGCTGGGTCACGGTGAGATGAGGCAGCACTCTGAGTGCGTCGATGGGGAGGGCGGGAGTCAGCGCAAGGCCACCAGACAGGGGCAGCTCCCCATGGGAGCCCCCATCCCGGCGGAGCCCTAGCCGGCTCCCGCGTAGAACGGTGGGGAGGCCAGACCCTGTCACGTGGCTGCCACCCTGAAGCCTGCCCAGGAAGGGATGGCGAATGTCCAGCGTCTGACTTCCATCCCCTTTCCCCGCAGAGACCCAGGGCAGCACGGAGCCTGCGGAGAACAGTCAGAGGGTGGACGTCGGTATGCGGCCCGGGGCCTCCAGAGCAAGCGGAAGGGGCTGGGCTTGGAGGGGGCTACAGATCTGGATGGGGGAGGGGGGACAGGCCCCTTTCCACAGGAGCCACATGTCACACAGAGGCCCTTCTGGATCCCATCCACCCACAAGAAGGGACGACAGAGGGGACGGGCCAAAGAAAGTGAAGGCACAGAGCAGAGAGGCCGAAACACACACACACAGTCACACGCATGTGCACACACGGTCACGTACTCGGACGCATGTACACTTACACACACACACACTCAGGGGAGCACACAGACAGTAAAGCCCAGAGTAGCAGAGTGCCTTGGGCCGATGGAGAGGGTCAGGGAGGGGACAGCCCTAGTCCTGGGGCTCCCCAGGCTGGGTCAGGGCGGCTGCACCTCTCTGCCGCCCCAGGCTGGCCAGTGAGGAGGGTAGAGGTCCTGGGAAGGGGTGTCCCTGGCCATTCCCTGCCTGGCCACATTGCTAGTGTGACCCAGCCCTCACTCTGCAGCTCGGAGCATGACCGTCATCCCGCCCGTCACCATCTTCCCCGCCATGAGCTGTGAGTGGACACTGCCCACTGCTGGTGGGGTGGGGGCTCACCCATCTGGGGGTAATGCTGGGGCGGGTCGGGCAGCTGGGTGGCCTCGGGCCTGGCTGGGAGCCTTCCCCGTGGACAGTTCTGGGGGCAGGGCTCTCAGGGGAAATCAGGGGAGTGGCTGTCCTCCTGGCCCCACGGCCCAAACGCGGGAAGGGCTGGGCCAGGCCAGTGGCACCTGCCGGGGCCACAGCACGCTCTCCCCACAGCCCTGAACCCCGCGCACAACGGGCGGGTGTGCAGCACCTGGGGCGACTTCCACTACAAGACCTTCGACGGCGACGTCTTCCGCTTCCCGGGCCTGTGCAACTATGTCTTCTCCGCGCACTGCGGGGCCGCCTACGAGGACTTCAACGTCCAGGTCCGCCGCGGCCTGGCCGGCTCCAGGCCTGTCATCACCCACATCGTCCTCAAGACCCAGGGGCTGGTGCTGGAGGCCTCTAACGGCTCCATCCTCATCAATGGGCGGCGGTGAGCCTGGCCCGGGCTGGGAGGGGCCAGGCCTCTGGGGCGGGCTCTGGGCTCAGCTGCTGGGAGGCCCTGCACCCTGCTGGGCACCCTGGCCCTGGGAGAACCAGAACTTTCCACCCCAGGGAGCAGCTGCCTTACAGCCGTGCTGGCGTCCTGGTAGAGCAGAGCAGCGTCTACATCAAGGTCGACGTCCGGCTGGTCCTGACTTTCCTGTGGAACAGAGAGGACGGCGCGCTGGTGAGGACACCCCGCCCCCGCGCCCCTGCCCACCCGGTGCGGGCAGAGCCCCCCAGAGGCTGGAGCTGCCCCTCCTCTGCCCTCAGCTGGAGCTGGACCCCAAGTATGCCAACCAGACATGTGGTCTGTGTGGGGACTTCAACGGACTCCGGGCTGTCAACGAGTTCTACTCCCATAGTGAGTGCCCCCTGGGGCGGCAGGAGGCCAAGGGCTGGATTGTCCCCAGGGGGTCTGGAGGGGCCTGGCGGTGGCCTCACCCAGGCTCCGGGCAGAGAGCAAATTGGCGTGGGGGCAATACTCAAGCCAGCGACGCCCCAGAGAGAAGTTTCTGGTGCCCTGGGCACGCGCAGGCGTCCCCGGGCAGCCATCCCCCGCGCCGGCCCCAGCGCCCTTCAGCGCCTCCACGCGGAGCCTCCCCCCACAGACGCCAGGCTGACCCCTCTGCAGTTCGGGAATCTCCAGAAGCTGGACGGGCCCACAGAGCAATGCCAGGACCCCCGGCCTCCCCCCACCACCAACTGCACAGACAGGGTGAGTGCTTCTCGGGGCCTGGGCGGCCCCCAGCCTCTGCTCCCCCAGGTCTCAGGCTTCCCGGGCTGGTGCCTGAGGCGTCCAGGCGAGAGGGTCCAAGCCCTGGGGTGGCAGAGGACGCGGCCTCCACTCTGGAGACGCGCCGCCTGCGCCCTCTCACCTCCACCTACCCAGCGAATGTGCTACGTGCGAGGGCCTCGGGCTACACGTGTGCCCGTGCCCGTATGCAAATACGTGTCCACCTGTAGACAGTCCGTGGTGGGCATTTGGGAGCGCAGGTGAAGAAGCCCAACGAGGCGGCGGGGACGCCTCCAGGGCAGCAGTGGCCTGGAAGCCCCTGGAGCCTCAGACCAGCAGAATCTCCCACCGAGCGTCAGTCAGGACGCGGGGCCCAGCGCCTGCCGGCTGGGGGCCAGGGGCAGGGGTGCGGGGGAAGGAGGGCGGGTTCATCCGCGGACACACTGGAATGGACAGACAAATGAGTGGGTACATGGATGGACAGGCAGATGGACAGATGAAAAGAATCTCAAGCGGGGGAAGGGGGCCCTCTGGCCTGGGTCCCCCCATAAGCACCAAGGGTGCAGGGTGCCACGCCCCTGTGCTCCCCAGGAGGGCATCTGCTACCGCACCCTGCTCGGCCCGGCCTTCGCGGACTGCAACATGCTGTTGGACCCTGCCGCGTACGTGGCCGCCTGCACCCAGGATCTGTGCCGCTGCCCCGACTGCCCGTGCGCCACCTTCGCCGAGTACTCACGCCAGTGTGCCCATGCGGGGGGACAGCCCCAGAACTGGAGGGGCCCTGACCTCTGCCGTGAGTGCCCCCCCCCGGGGCCAGCCCCAGGCCCCATACCCACACTGGGTCCCGGGGGGCCGAGGAACAGGACATCTAGCTGGGGACCCAGGACAAGTGGAGTCATTTGGGGGCCCTACAGTGAGGGTGGGCAGGGGACAGAAGGGAGCGTGCAGGGCCTGGGGGACCCGGGAGGCCCAGAGGGCGGACCTGGCCTGGGGGAGGGCCGCCTCACCCAGAAGACAGTGGGGGCTAGGACAAGTGGGGTCCAGCCGCCCCAGATGAGGGGCTCCCCGGCTCGGCTGTGAACCCTTGATGACACGGGAAATGTTGGGAGCATCCGTCTGCCCAGAGCCCCGGTGGCTTTCCGCGGTCCCAGCACTGCCTCCCCCCCACAGCCTGGACCTGTCCCCTCAACATGCAACAGCGGGAATGCGGCTCCCCCTGCGAGGACACCTGCTCCAACCCGGAGCGCTCCCAGCTCTGCGAGGAGCACTGTGTGGACGGCTGCTTCTGCCCCCCAGGCAGGTCCTCCTGGCCCTACCCCCCACCGGCTGTGTCCAGTCACTGTGTCCCCAACACCCCACCCCGCCAGCTCACGCCCCCCCCGCCCCCCCGCACTGCCCGCAGGCACGGTGCTGGACGACGTCACCCACACGGGCTGCCTGCCCCTGGAACAGTGTCCCTGCACCCACGGCGGCCACACCTACGCCCCGGGGGCCTCCTTCACCACCAGCTGCAGCTCCTGGTAGGCCTCCCGGCTGCCCCTGCCCTTGGTGGGGGTGCATGGGATGGGCTCTGCCTCCCCCACACCACGCTTCCTCTGTCCGTGGCCTCCCTTCCCAGCACCTGCTCCGGGGGACTGTGGCGATGCCAGAACCTTCCGTGCCCTGGCACCTGCTCTGTCCAGGGGGGGTCTCACATCTCCACCTATGACGAGAGGCTCTATGATGTGCACGGGGACTGTAGCTACGTCCTGTCCAAGGTACAGCCCCAGGCCCCACCTGCTGAGCCTGTCCTGGGACCCTCAGGCCTCCCTGCCCCAGGAAGGGTCCTATGATGGCCATCAGAGTGGGTGCCTTGGTCCCCTCCTGAGGAAGCCCCTGGGCTCACATTCGCGGGGCCAAGGGACTCCCAGGCCCCGAGACAAGCTGCCTGCCTGGAGGTAGCCACAAGGGCCGGGGGCCACCAGGAGCCAGCGTCCGCCTCCTCCCCACACGGGTGGTCCTGGGAGCAGGGGCCCCACACACGAACACGCGGCCCCCTGCCCGCCCGCTCGGGAGTGGCCGACCCCCCGCGCCCTGGTGGGCTTTGCCCTGTCAGATATGTGCAGGTCACAGCCTCACCGTGTTGGCCGAGCTGCGGAAATGCGGCCTGACGGACAATGAGAACTGCCTCAAAATGGTGACGCTCAGCATGAACGGCGGGGACACGGTGGGTGAGGGGCCCGCTGCGGAAGGGGGTGGGGACGGGGAGCTGGTGAGACACCGAGATTTGGAGGACACAGGCCCCAGCGCCGTCCTCAGACCCCACGGGCCCCAGTCCTAACAGTCCCTCCGAGGTCTTGGTCTGATGTTGGGGACCAGGGCTCCCCTCCGGACCCTGGCTCTGCTGGGTGGGCCTGGGGAGTGCTCCCTGGTCAGGCAGGCCCCTCCTCCGGCTGAGCTGGCTCCTCCTCTCACTAGATCATCCAGATCCAGGCCAGCGGCGGGGTATTCATCAACTCCATCTACACCCAGCTGCCCGTGTCAGCAGGTAGGCGGTCTGGGATAGCTGGGCCCTGTTCCGCCAGCTGGTCTGCTCCCAGAGCCCGTTCTCTGAGGCCCGGGGCAGTTCTGGAACATCCCAGGGGTGGTTTCCCACCTGCACGCGGGCCGCTAACGCTTCAGCCCCGGCCACTGTGGGGACTAATGCCGAACACACTCGGTGCGTGGCCTCTCGGGGGCCGTGAGCGGTCCCTCCCGGCGCTGCCGGCGAACGAGCTCCTGCCCCCTCCCAGGTCCCCATGCCGTGGCGGGGGCCCGCCAGACCCCTGGGTCCTCCCAGCCCAGCACCGGAGGGCCCTCCCGGCCTCCTGGGCTGCCCCAGGAGCAGGGGGCTGGCCCCGTGCAGACTCTGACCGCGTCCCGATCCCTGCAGCCAACATCACGGTCTTCAGGCCCACCTCCTTCTTCATCCTGGTGCACACGGGCCTCGGGCTGCAGCTACAGGTGCAGCTGGTGCCCCTCATGCAGGTGTTCCTCAGGCTGGACCCCTCCTACCGTGGACAGATGTGCGGTGAGGCTCCGCCGGACGGGCTCGGGGGGCGCTGGTGCCCGGACTCAGCTCCGGGCTGCAGGCAGGGTGGGCAGAGTCTGGCAGGAGGTGAAAACGGGGAGGTGGCTGCTCCCTGGGCATGGGGGGGGGGGGGGGGGGGGGACTCCTGCGCTGGCCCAGGGCACTCCGAAAGTGACGTGTGGCCCCAGGGCGTTCACCTCGGGGGAGCAAGCCCTGTTGCCCTTATGAGTCCAGGCTTTGCACAGCGGCCAATTCCCCGCGGGGCGTGTCTGCAGATGGCTCCGGAGCCGAACTCCTGAGACGGGGCTTCGGGGCTGGTCCGCCGTGTGGTGGTTTCTAGAGCGAGCAGGAGCTGGGGAGCAGGGCCGGCTGGACGGCCAGGCCGGATGCCCTGCTAATGCCCACCCCTGCGCCCCGGGCCTCAGGCCTGTGCGGGAACTTCAACCAGAACCAGGCCGACGACTTCCGGGCCCTCAGCGGCGTGGTGGAGGGCACGGCTGCCGCCTTCGCCAACACCTGGAAGACCCAGGCCGCCTGCCCCAACGTCAAGAACACCTTCGAGGACCCCTGCTCCCTCAGCGTGGAGAACGGTACTCCCACCCCAGGGGCCCTCCATTTACCAGGGCTGGGCTGGGAGCCAGTCTCGCATCTCACCAGGCCCTGGGGGACCCTGGGTGTCCAGGCGTGCATGGCCTGGGGCGAGAGTGAGCAGGGCACAGTGCTCAGAGCCCGTCTCGGGGAGGAGCACCTTGCTGCCCCCTCAGCACGGTGGGTGAGCCCCAGATCCCAACTCAGCTCTCTGAGGGCCGTGGGGCCCCCCAGGGCCTATGTACGGGAGCGCAGGCGGCCAGAGTGGGCGGGTGCAGGGGAGGAGGGCTGTGGGTGCCGGCCAGCCAGCTTCCCTCCCTTGTCCCAGAGAACTACGCCCAGCACTGGTGCTCCCTGCTGACTGACCCAGCCGGAGCCTTCTCGCCCTGCCACTCCGTCCTCAGCCCAGCGCCCTTCCACTCGGTGAGACCCCTGCCCCACCTGGGGCCGCCCTGCTGCCCCCTTAGTCTCTCCTTGGCGGTCCCCTATCTCAAGGACCACTCACGGCACGGCGGGCCCCTCGGGGCTTTCGGCACCACCACTGGTGGTGTGTTTGTAGCCACAAACCAGCTCACTAAAAACTAGAGAAATTGATTCCGTTCCAGTCCTAAAAGCCAGAAGTCCAAAATCAAGCTGCGGGTGGAGCCAGGCTCCCTCCTAAGGCGACAGAGGAAGGGCCTTCCTGCCTCTCCCAGCTTCTCGGGGCTCCAGGTGGCCCTGGGCTTGTGGCCACGTCACCCTCACCCCAACCTCTGCCTCCGTGGTCACTTGGCCTTGGCCCCTCCCCTGTGTCTGTGTCCAGATTTCCTCTTTAAGGACACCAGTCATGCTCGACCGGGGCCCATCCCGATGACCTCATCTTAATCACATCTGCAAAGACCCTATTTCCAATAAGCTCATTTTCTCAGGCCCCGAGGGCGAGGGTTTCCGCATATTCTTCACAACACTTGGCTCATGGGCCACTTTCCCAAAAGCTCAAAGCCCTAAAATGCACATGACCACCGCATCAGGAGCGCCCCGGAGGGCAGGCCCAGGCCCATCTCTGCCCATTTTGCAGATGGCATACCTCCACCCTGCCACGCACCCTCTTCACCCCACCTGTGACCCCCACACGCAGCACAATCAGTGACACACATGGGGTGTGGCTGACCCTGGCCCGGTCTGGTGGAGACCCCTCCGAACCTGACCGTAGCCCGGCCTCTGTGGTCACTTAGTGTGCGGCCTGCCCCTCCTGGGAGCCGATTTCTGCCCATCTGTGCCGAGGGCCCTCCTTGGGGTGGACCTCCCAGCCCAGGCGGGGGTCCCAGGAAGAATCCACGGAGAGAGGAGGGGCCTTGGTGGGCTGGGGTCCCTGACGGTCCCTAACGGCCCATCCCCAGCACTGCATGTTCGACACGTGTAACTGTCAGAAGAGCGAGGACTGTCTGTGTGCGGCCCTGTCCTCCTACGTGCACGCCTGTGCCGCCAAGGGGGTGCTGCTCCGCGGCTGGAGGGACGGCGTGTGCAGTGAGTGTCCCTGAGCCACCCTGGCTGCACCAGGTGGGGGCAGGGCTGCTGAGGGCCCCGGGGGCGGCCACCCCCACCCACATGTTCTCAGTCAGAGCTTCACGCTTCCTTGGCCAGGCCAACCAAAGACTTTGTGGTCCCCTGATCCCTGGGGGTCAGAGGGGAAACTGAGTCTCGGGCTGCTTAAACACCTGTTTGGAGGGGGCCATCCAGTCACTGACCCGAGTGCTGCCCCTGTCCCCTAGCCAAGTATGTAAGCAGCTGCCCCAAGTCCCAGAACTACAGCTACGTGGTGGACAGCTGCCAGCCCACCTGCCGCGCTCTGAGCCAGGTCGACGTCACCTGCGGTGTCACCTTCGTGCCCGTGGACGGCTGCATCTGCCCCTCGGGCACCTTCCTGGATGACTCGGGCACCTGCGTGTCTGCCGAGGCCTGTCCCTGCTACTTCCGTGGCTCTGTGGTGGCCCCGGGGGAGGTGGTCCATGACAACGGCGTGGTATGGTAAGGGGCCGGCTGGGCCCATGCCCCCGCCCACGTCACTGTCCCCTGTTTCACATGCAAAGATCTCTGGGCCTCCCCCAGAGGATTCTGGAAAACAAAGGGGCTCCCTGGGCCTGGGGGGTGGGGAAGTTTGCCTCTGCCCACCCCTTAGTCCCGCTGCAAAGGGGGACCCCTCCCTTAGCCTCCAGAGGGTTCTGGCCGCCCAGGGCCCGGGGAGGGCTGGTGCACTGCCTGGGACAGCTTTCTCTCTGGGACAGGCCAGGGCTGCTCCCAGCCAGGCAGGGATCCGGGTGGGGCCTGTGGGAGATGGGTGGGCAGGGGCCCAGAGACGTCTCTGTCTCTCACAGCTCCTGTGTGGGTGGGCGGCTGAGTTGCCTGGGAGCAGCAGAGCACTTGAGCTCAGGTAAGGCCTCGGGCAGCGCGCGGTCGGAGGGGCTTCGCGGGCCTGGGGTGGGGAGAGCGGCCCCGCCCAGCTAGCCGCCCTCCCCCGCAGGGTGTGCGGCCCCCATGGTGTACCTGGACTGCGGCAAGGCCCCGGCCGGCGCGCCCGGGGCCGAATGTCTCCGGAGCTGCCACACGCTGGACGTGGACTGTGTGAGTGGCCGGGGAGGGCTCGACGGGGCGCTGGCCGAGGGCGGCCCGGGCGCAGCGCGGGGCGGGCGCTGACCCGAGCCGCTCCACAGTTCAGCACGCACTGCGTGTCCGGCTGCGTCTGCCCCCCGGGGCTGGTGTCGGACGGGAGCGGGGGCTGCGTGGCCGAGGAGGACTGTCCTTGCCTGCACAACGGGGCTGCCTACAGGCCCGGGGAGACCGTCAGGGTCGACTGTAACACCTGGTAGGTCGGGGCTCCTCCGCAGGGGGCGGAACGGGGCTGAGGGCGCCCAGGGAGACCGGAGTGCCACAGGCAGGGGTGGGGTGGGGCGGGGTGGGGCGGGGTCCTCCGCCCGGGCACAGAGGCCCTTGCGAGCGGGCGTCGCCGGTCCTCGCCTCGCAGCACGTGCAGGAACCGCAGGTGGCAGTGCGGCAGCAAGGCCTGCCTGGGCACCTGCGTGGCCTACGGGGACGGCCACTTCATCACCTTCGACGGCGAGCGCTACAGCTTTGAAGGGAGTTGCGAGTACACGCTGGCGCAGGTACGCCGGCCCTCACGCCCCGCCCCTCGCGCCCTCGCCCCGCCCCCTCGCCCCTGCCCCGCCCCCGGCTCCTGGCCTCCCGCCCCATCCTTACGTCACCGCCCCACCCTCCTCGCCTTCGCCCCGCCCTCCTCCCCGCCCCCGGCCCCACCCCCTCCCCACGCCTCGCTCCCTCGCCCCGCCCCCCTCGGCCCCACCCCGCCCCCTCGTCTGGTCTGCTCCCTGATGCCTGACCTTTCCCTGTCCCAGGACTACTGTGGGGGCAATGGCACCGGCTCCGCAAACGGGACCTTCCGCGTTGTCACTGAAAACGTCCCCTGCGGGACCACAGGTGTCACCTGCTCCAAGGCCATCAAGCTCTTCCTGGAGGTGAGAGCCACCGGGAACCTCTCCCTCCCTCTGCCCTCCAGCTGGCTGGCCCCAGGCTGCCTGAACAAATGACCACAGCCCAGGACGGGAAGCCGGAGAGTTCATTCTCTCTTGCTTCTGACCCCAGAACTGTGTCATGCAGGCGTCCCAGGGCCAAGACCCCCCAGCTCCCGGGCTCCACTCCCCCACCTGTCTGCCCCTCCCTTCTCCCACATGGGCACCTGTGGATGGACGGACGGTCACCCCAAGTCCCGGATGAGCTCCTCCTTCACTGGCACCTGCTCCAGGGGTCAGGATGTGGGCACACCTTTTGGGGGGCCTGTGTTCAGCCCACCACATCAGGGCGCCCAGTTCCAGCAGAGAGAGGTCAGAGTTCACTGGGCAGAGAGGCACACTGCTGGCAGGGGACATCTCCCCCACAGGGCGGGAGGACATGAGCAGGGTCGCCTCACTCAGAGGTCAGCGAGTTGGGGTGGCCGGTCCTGCAGACTCCCACTGGGACCTGTGCACCCCTGCTTGCCGTGGCCCTGGCTTTCTCCGTGGCCTCCCAGCACACTCTGCTCGGCCGCTTGCCTCGTGTTTGCCGAGTCGGGAGCCCGGCTCGTCCCTGACACCAGCCCTGTGCCGAGGGCCCCCACTGGCCCCTCCACCCGTGCAGCCACCACCCCGTGTGTCCCTCTGCAGAACTATGAGCTGATCCTGCGGGAGGGCACCTACAAGGTGGTGCAGAGGGGCCCAGGCGGAAACCTGCCCTACAAGATCCAGTACACGGGCATCTACCTGACGGTCGAGACCCGCAGCGGCGTCGCGGTGTCCTGGGACCGGAAGACCAGCGTGTTCATCCGACTACAGCAGGGCTACAAGGTGAGAGTGGGCAGGCTGCAGACCCCCTCTGGCAGGGACAGGTCTGGCCCGGAGGGACCGTCTGGCTGCTGACAATCCACGGAGGGCTGGGGGGAGTCTGCTCACAGCGCTGATTTCTGAAAGGGGGTGTGTGGAGACCAACGTGACCAACTGACAGAGCCCTGGGTAGAAAGGCGAGCTTCGCTCTCTGGTCTCCCACGCCCACCGGGCCTGCTGCCCACCCACGTGCTTGCCGTAGGACCCACCGTGCACCCCGTCCGCCTGCAGTTTCCCAGGGCACTCCCGGGGAACCAGGTGCTCCCTCAGGCTGCCCCCTGCAGCCCCAACACCTGTGCTGCCCGCCCCCCCCC